CTGAAGACACTTCTTTTCTCCATTGTATATTCTTGCTTCCTTTGTTGAAGATCAATTTACCATAGGTGTTTGGGTTTATTTCTGGACTCTCTATTCTGTTCCATCTATGTCTGTTTTTGCACCAATACCATGCTGTTTTGATTACTGTAGTTTTGTAGTATTGTCTTAAGTCTAGGAGGGTTATGCCTCTTGCTTTGTTTTATTTCCTCAAAATTGCTTTGGCAATTCTGAGTCTTTCATGGTTCCATATAAGTTTTAGGATTATTTGTTCTAGTTCTGGGGATGATGGCCTCAGTAATTTGATAAGGATTGCATTAAATCTGTAGATTGCTTTGGGTAGTATGGCCATTTTAACAATATTAATCCTTCCAATCCAAGAGCATGGATGTTTTTCCACTTCTTTAAATCATCTTTAATTTCCTTTATCAATGTTTTATAGTTCTCAGCATATAAGTCTTTCACCTCTTTGGTCAGGTTTCTTCCTAAGTATTTTATTTTATTTTTTTGATCCAATTTTTAAAGGGATTGTTTCTTTACTTTTCCTTTCTGATATTCCACTGTTAGTGTAAAGAAATGCAACAGATTTCTGTGTGTTAATCTTGTATCCTGTTGCCTTGCTGAATTTGTTTATCAGTACTAGTAGTTTTTGCGTGGAGTCTTAAGGGTCTTCTATATATAGTATCATGTCATCTGCATATAATGACAATTTTACCTCTTCCCTTTTAATTTTGATACCACTTACTTTTTTTTTTTTTTTTGGGCCTAATTGCTGTGGCTAGGACTTCCAATACTATGTTGAATTGAAGTGGCAAGAGTGGGCATCCTTGTCTTGTTCCAGATTTTAGCGGGAAGGCTTTCAGCTTTTATCACTGAGTATTACATTGGCTGTGAGTTTGTCATAAATAACTTCCATTATGTTGATATACGTTCTCTTTATCCCCACTTTGGTAAGAGTTCTTATCATAAATGGATTTTAAATTTTTTCAAATGCTTTTTCTGCATCTATTGAGATGATCACATGGTTTTTGTCTTTTCTTTTGTTGATATGGTGTATCACACAATGATGGATCTGCATATGTTGAACCATTCCTGTGACCTTGGGATGAATCAAACTTGCTCAGATGATCATATGATCTTTTTTTTAATGTGTTGTGGATTTGGTTTGCTAATATTTTGTTGGTAATTTTTTCCATCTATATTCATCCAAGATATTGGCCTGTAATTTTCTTTTTTGGTATTGTTTTTGCCTGGTTTTGGTATCAGGGTAATGGTAGCTTCATAGAAGCTCCTCTTCAATCTTTTGGAATAGTCTGAGAAGGATTGGTATATTGTTAAAATGACCATACTACGCACAGAGGGGATCAAGCTCCATTTCCTAGAAGGAGGAGTATTTATCTGTCTATGTTATTTGGAGTTATTCTAAGAAAGACTCATCTCTTCTCTTCCCTTCATTTATTCAATTGTTAATTTTATATCAGCAATAAGCTCATGTACATTTATTTTATGTCTTGGGTTATAATTCAATACCAGATTATTTTGTTGCTCAAATTTTCTATCTTTGGCCACTGGGAGCTTTTTTAGGTTTGTGCCAGTGTCCCTTTGACATGTTCTATTCTTTATTTTTGTAAGCGCTTTCTTACTTTCTGGCACTACGAAATACTAGAGGCTCATCTTGTAATCTTCCTGTCCCAACCACTGAATCAGTCTTTTCTCCAAGAAGCCCTGGTTCCTTTCATTGGAGAACAGTATTAAAAACCAAGATCTGGGTGTAGCTGTGCTGGTTGCTATTAGGGTGTCACTGCTTCTAGGCCCTCCTTAGCAAAGAGAGCTGGGAAATATATAAACGTATTCTAACTCATGTATGCATGCATATCTATCATTATTTCCATATCTATCCATATATATTAAACAAAACATATGATCATCTTAGCATCTCCAACTCTAGTCTAGTACCACAAGGTTCATTCTAACCTTCCCCCTTGCTTATCTGTAATTTGTTTCTCTGATGGTGAGAAAACCAGTTCCCATTATCTACCATTTATTATTCTTTTCAACTCTAATATAGCTATAAATTACTTTCAGAATTGTTAGCCTCTGTGAGAAACAAATAAGCAGAGTACAGTGTTTACATACAGTTTTGTCTTTAACCTTATAGTTTCCAGACAAAATATTATTTTCCAAAAGTCACTTAGATCAGTTTCCCCCCACCTCCCCTTTAGTGAGGATATGTCATACACTAGTAATACAGTAAATTCATTTCTCACAGTCTGCATGCCGTCTTGGGATGGAAGGGAGACACCTCACTGTGGATCCTTCTGCACCTTTTGTACCATGTAAGTATACTACTTATTTTCGAAAATGCAATTTTAACAACATAACAGTAATTCACATAGATTCAACAGAAGCATGTCAGGATAAATTTTCAAGGGAAAAACAGAGCAAAAGGTGAGCAATCTTCCAAAGTGTCTGATTAACATAGAGGAGTTTTAGCTCAATAAAGTATGGCAATCAGGGAATTACTTCTGCAGCCTGTTCTGGATTCCCAACCCACCTACCTCTAAATGCAAGGCCTAACTAGTCAGCTCTCACCAATACCAGACTTTGGCTAAAGTGAAAAAGAGGTTAGAGAAAACTCCTAAACTTCCAGTTCCCCTTAAGTCTGTCATCTCTGAACAATAGCTGTGAACGGAGCTGCGCAGAGGCTCAATCTGGTACTAGAGTAAGAAGTCCAATACAACTGAGGAAGGCAGTACTCTAGTTGGGATTCATAGCTCGTGACTGGCACCAATTTAGACATCAGGCACTCTTAGCCTTACTCGTGCCAGGATGTGGAAGGCCCAGCTGCTGCTGCCCCTGCTCCTGAGAAAGAGCCAAGGGAGAAAATGTGCAAGCTGCTGGGTGGGGGAAGGGGCAGCAGCTAGACCAACAGGACAAACCAAGGCACTGATGGTTCTACACACAAT